GTTTCGACGGGATCAATAAAAAAAAAATTAAGACCAAAATTATGGTGTTTATTATCTATTATTAAGAACCACAAGGCTATAATACAGTCTATGATCAACATTTTAAATCAAGGAGGAATCACATTTTTTGCTGACAAGGAGCATCAACTGATGAACAAGGCAACTTCACTTCCTGCAATCTCGACTCCTCACATTTGACTTTTCAGTGCTTCCTTCAAATTAATGTTACAAAATAACCAATGCTTTTCATCTTTCCTAAAAGGAGGGAGGAAATTATCATGAAAATATAAACACAGAAAATGAATGGAAAAATACGTGTAAGAGGACTTACTAATTGGATGATTCTTGACCACCATAAATCCTAAACTACTGCAAAATGTAAGTTAATCCCAACTATCTCGACTTCTTCTAAATGCTTTCTTTTCTGAAAGAACTTTTTTGCTTTTTAGGCGCTTTTGCTCCCCAATAGCAGCCCTGTAGCAACATGGAAATGAAAATAAATCTCAATCCAGAACCCATCACAGTCAAACGGATTAGTTTTAAGTTAAATTAAACGTAAATGAAACAATGGTTCAAATTGTATCACGGTTAGACAATCAGTAAAATACAGAGAGGCAGCAGCATCAAGGCAAATATAAAATGGAACTGAAAAATGCAGTTATGAAGACAGATGCATAATGCCTCTTACAACTTGGCAATTTTCTTCTTTTGCTCTTCTGATGGGGGCGGTGGCACATAAGAAGCAGCATCAATGATTGCCTGTTTGTGTTTGGTTCATTCAAATGAGGAAACTAAATTACATGTTAGCCCAATCACATATCAAGTGAGCTAGGAATTAACCATATTAATAGCCAAACTTGTGACAGTAAGCCAGAAATTTAGCATATGAGATAGATGTTACAAGCAAATGCTCTGCATTATCATTTCCTTAATAGTATCAGGTTTATAATTTGATACAATTAAGAAACACAAACAAATTTCAGCACCTGTAACTTTGCCAGCGCATCGTCAATGTTACCCCTGAGGAAGTATTTATTAGAATATTATCAATTGCTTTGGCAGCAAAATAAGAGACAGATGGACAAAAAAAGGATATAAAAAGGAACAAAGGCAGGAAAGGAGCAGGAACAAACTTCTGTGTTCTAGTCTTTGTTGAAGAAATCACAATCTCACCATCCTTGTTGATCCGGTTCTTTTCCTATTCATTAACAAATAACTTAAGAAATGAAGAAACACAACCAAATCCAGATAAATAATCACAAAAGTTAAAAATAAAACAAAGCTTAAAAAGGAAATTGCCTAGATATTTAATGGTAATATGTTTTCTTTGTCACTCCATAAACAACTCGCTATTACCAGTGACCCAAAAGTTGGATAAGACGTAATATTGGGGTTCCAAACTACAATTCACGATATAAATTAGTCACAATGTTATCCCCTGATGAAAAACCCTTGCTCCCATATTGCTAAAATTAATTCAAACATGAGAATCTCTCTAAAACAAAGAAATGAAAAGATTGCAGTAGTGACAAACCAGTTGCATAATCCTCTCTCTAATCCTGTCACTCAGCCAATATGCATTTTTTACATTGAAGCGCATATCCACCTTCGTGTTCACTGAAATTTTATTTAAGCATAGATTCTATGATAAGTTGCAGCAGCATCCCGGAATTTGGCTATGTAATAATGAAGGTAGTAGAGAATGCAAGAGATGAAGAGGACAACAAACCTTTGTTGACATTTTGACCTCCAGGCCCCCCACTCCTAGCAAAACTCACAGTAACATGATCTGCAAAATAATAATAATAAAAAACCCACAAACATGATGCATAACAATTTACATTAGATTCGAGAAAACCGAAAATGTAAGAACTTGGCTTAATCTTTTAAATCAATTTTAGAAAAGGTAAAAACTTGTTAGGAAACCAGTGCAATTTGCAAGATAGAACCCAACTAAATTGGTGTACCTAAGGTGATTTGAGGGGTGGGTTCATTTCCACCCGAGCTGGCTCGCTCCTCAGCCTGCTGCAGCAGCTGTTGCACTTGGGAAAGCCGAGCAGAAACCTTTCTGTCGGCGCCGGAGTCCGACGCGGCACAGCATATTGGAGTGAAGCTGATTTTTCTAGCCAGACCGAGGCGGAGCGTCCCCGGAGAACGGGAGAGAACAGTGCAGGGCGAGGGTGACAGTGAAACGAAAGACAGTGACGAGCGATGAATGATTTCTTTGAGGATCAAATTCGCAGTTGTCCGAACAACCGCCATTTTTTTATTTTGGGTGAAATTTGGGAATTAGAACCCTAACGGATTTATAACTAAAAGAGGTTTTTGGTGGTTCTGGAAAACAGGAGAGCTTTACCAATAATCTCTATTGGAAGGAGTTTTCTCAAAAAACAAAAAAAAAAATCTCTATTGCAAGGTGGTGAATTCCTTTTAAGTAAATATCAAATTTTAATCTTATAAATAAAAAAAATTAGTATTGAAAGCATTTTTTTTAATGAAATTTTACTCAATTTATTTTGAATTAATCAAATTTAATATAATTACCGAATAATAAAAGATTAATAAAAAAAATAAATAGAAGAGCTTTAATTGGTGAATTTTTTTTTTTTATAATTCAGGGCAAAATAGGTAAATAGTGGCGTATAATTGGATTTCCACTTAGCCTAACACGTGGCCTTTGTGG